CGGGCGGGTCAGGAGAGGTCTGGCTCGCCATGTGGTCTCCTCCAGGGCAGGCGGCAGGCGGGAATCGAACTCATGCGGAAGTGGCTTCAGATTCTTAGTGCTGTGCTTTAACCCGCTGCGCCACCAGGGAGGGCCTAAAACTGGTTAAAGTTTTAACTGGAGTTAACATGATCATCAGAAGTGCAAAGTGTAAATTTTACAATAGGGTATTATTTGACCACTGTGGTGTTAGCAGATTTTGTTTTGTTATTATACATTTATAATCCCTAATAACATCATGACCATGTACCTAGAAAGTTTAGAAGTGATTCTGAGAAATGGTGTATGTGCTGGTTGAAGGATACAACCATACTACTTACAAAACAGACTATTCTGGCAAGATGGGTAAAAATACCCTTAAAGCTTATATACTTTGACTTAGGATAAATTCTAAAATTGCTAAAAATCAGAAAGGCATACATTTTAACTACAAAAAATATTACTGTAGCATAATTTGAAACCACCTTTCCAAAACCAACAATTGTCTATCCTTAAGCTAAAAGTCAAGTCATGTTGAACTTTTGCAGGAGAGTATTTACTTTATAATATAAATTGAAGGAGATACATGATACTTCCACAGCTAGCAAACCAGTCCCAGACAGTGCAGTGTGACTTTAAGAAGTCCAGAGATATGGTAAAGTAGCTGGTCTACTGAATGTTGTATGATACAGCAGGGCCCAAGTACAAATGGCATTAAATCCCAAGTCAGTAAGGACTGGTTTTAAGACTTAAAAAAGATACAGGCAATTAATATATTTGTACTTTTATCTGAATAATTGGAAGGTGATTATTGCATATAGGATCAATCTTTTCTCCTCAACTGTGTTTTCAAAAGACCAAGTAAGATATATTTTGTACATGTGTTCAACCTTCAACACTGTACTTCATTTTACCAACCATAGCATAGCCTATGTAGTTGTCTAAATTTTCCTTCCTTGGTTTCAACCAAAACTCAGTCCAGGGCACATATTACCGTTAGCATGCTAAGTAGATATCTGTGGTATTTTGTTGTAAATTATGGTTGTACTTTTTTTTTTTTTTAAGATTTATTTTATTTATTCATACAGAACTGGGGTACAGGCTAGAGATGCGGAGGGTGAGAGGATTCACCAGGGACAGAGTCAGGAGCAGCAGGCAGCTCAGGAGAGGTCTGCTGCGCCATGTGGTCACCTCTGGGGCAGGCGGGGATCGAACTCATGTGGAAGTGGCTTAAGCTTCTTAGTGCTGTGCTTTAACCCGCTGCGCCACCAGGGAGGGCCAGTTGTACCGTTTTAATGGTTCAGGAATAGAATATCCATAAAGACTACTCTTAAACTAACACTTGACAAAGGGAAAATCCTCAAAATTTATTTAACAGTATATGGGAGATAAAAGCAGCAGCCACAAATCTCTGCACTGAGGATTAGGTATATTGCCACAAGTACTTAGAAAATAACTGTCATTAAAAATCAACCATGTGTTTTGATTAACAGGTAGCAGCCTATTTACCAGAAAAATGGTTTAAAAATTCTTCCATGAAAACATCTATTCCCCAGCTAGAAAATTTCATCCAGTTTTTATTGCAGTCTGCACATACATTATCTAAAAGTGAACTCAGGTAATGCATTTTTTTTATGTATACCTCTAAACATCATTTAGAGGAGCCTATAAGCAATGTTTAATTTAAAAAGATTTGTGCTTTTAACCGATTTTTAAGAATAGAGTAAGACTATTAATAGATATTTGCATGTGTGCCTTCAGAATATCTTCCAAAGTTAAGTTCTTAAGGAAAAATATATAGCAGAGAAATCCCATTTTTTAAATGCAGCCAGTAGTCACTGGCTCTTGTACATAGTGTGGCAGACAGTCTAATACTGGACACCAGGTGTTTGAAGCAGGTAAAGAATTTAATATATAGAAGCACCTCCTGGCCAAACTCCCACCCAGAGTCTCTGGGGGTTCTCGTAGGGAGGTTTACATGCTGGAAATCTTGGGAGTCATTTGGGAAAGGGAAGATTTATAGACACACAGGAGCCATAAAAAGGGAAAAAGCTGCTGAAGAGCAAATTACTTTTTGACAGCTGTGCATTCTTTATTGTGCAAACAGAGGGGGTAAGGTTTATGTAAATCTAGATGATTAATACTGATCTGAAGCTATTGAGTGATATGTTAGTATTGGGCTGAGCAGCAGTGAAGAATATCACCTAAACCATCTTTAATCAGTATTCATAGACATTTGAATAAACTATAGGAAAGAGCAATAATATGAGATTTTAAATAGTCACACTTTATTCCTTGCTTAGGGAGAATTAAGAAAAGAATCCTGGCCCTCCCATGTGATTCTACAGTATCTGTAAGAATTATTCAAGACTTTAGCCTGGTGTTTACGTAGCAGGAGCTAGATCTGTTTTGCAGATGTCATTTACAGCACTAGATAATTAACAGCTTCAATACAGTGTTTTCTGGTAAACCAAGTGTTTAAAAAATTTAAGTCCAGATAAGGTCTGTGGGAATAAATCCTCCCACTAACTAGTCTATATAGGCTGTTAGCAATACAATACAGCATAGGTTTTGATAGTATATTTAAATGCTATACTATTTTAGACATTGGCTTAAAAACTTTGCTTCAAGGGAATGGTTTGGGTAATGTTACCATGGGCTACATAGCATTTTTAAGTGAGAATTTTTTTTGTTTGTTTAGGGATGAAGATGAAGTCAAAGAGATAATTCTTATTCTGGTAAAATTAAAAGCTCTGAATCAAGCAGAATCCTTCATTGAAGAACATCACCTAGACCATCTTAAGTCAGTATTTATAGACACTTAAATAAGCTATAGGAAAAACAATAAAATGAGATTTTAAATAGTCACACTTCATTCCTTGCTTAAGGAGAATTAAGAATTTTGGCCTTTCACTCTACCATCTGCTTCTACAGTGTTCATAAGAATTAAGCACACAGGTACAGTGAGATTTATGTATTTCCTATTTGTGCCTTTTGATAATTGTAAGAACTTTGTATTTTAAGGATATTTTTCCTGTCCTCTAATTTTTGTATATGTTATTTGTGAGGCAATTAATACTCTTGCAACAGATTTTCTCATTGGTTAGTAGTCAGACAAAAAGTAGGATTTTAAATATTCAGATGATTTATTTTGTGATAAAATTTTTTAAGAGTTACACATAGAGGAAAGAGGGGGTGGGGGGCGACAACTATATATGTATGTTATATAAATAAAAAAATACTTTCCAGAAAAAATAAAGTGTTTGGCTTTTGTGTTGGGCTTATTTTATTGTGGGTAGAGAGCTGTGTTATACATCTCTAACAGATGAGAGGAAGGAAGTGCTAGAAAAGGGAGGCAGAGGTACTGAGCAAGAAAGGGTAACTAATATAGTTTAATTCAGGCAGGATAGCCCTGACATGAAAAACTCAAATTTTGGTTAAGATGTGTTCTCTCTCAAACAATTTATAGTTAATGCAATTCCTGCTGAAATGTTCTCCAATGTTTCTTTTTCAAAGATACTGGCTGACTAAAATATATAAACTTACAATTTGCATGGAAGTATAAAAGACCTTTGTCAAAACCATCTTAATCAGAGCAATTATTCCAACTTGCTCTATCTCATTACCAAGCCTATTAAACTGTAGTACTGAACAATATATTAAAGTGCATTAATAGGTTTATACAGTTCTATCAAAAATCCAGAAATAACACCAAGACATATACAGTTTTGACCAACTTGCCATGTTCATTCAGTGAGAAAAAGGAAATCTTCAATTCTCATAGTAACAATTATATAAGAAATACAATTATTTTAACCCTTTCCCCCCACAAACACTGAAAATTAAAAGGATCACAGATCTAAGTTAGGGAAATGAGAGGCACAGTCATAGGCAGGAAAGCTGCCAATGTAAAACTTAAATGCAACAAAAACTTGAAAAAAAAATCACCTTAGTAAATTTTATCAAAATTTCATATGCAGAAGTGTTCAAATTAAAGCCACAATGATACATACCATCTCAGTGTCACTAGAATCACTGAAATAGACAAACATCAACCAGTGCTGTGGTGAGTGTGAAGCTACTGGAAAACTCAAATTGTTGTATAAAACATAAAAACACTCTGAGAAACCTACCATCAGTTTCTTATTAACATTCACTTATCAGGCCCTCCCTAGTGGCGCAACGGATGAACATGCAGCACTGTGAAGTTATCGTGCAGCCACTGTAGCACGAGTTCAAGCCCCAGCCAGGGAGCTAATGCATGGCGTGGCAGACCTCTCCTGACTACCCATTCTGTCTCTTGTGAATCCTCACCCCCGACAACTCTGGCCTGTACTCCAGCTCTGGTATGCATAAATAGGTCTCCAAAAAAAAATTCCCTTATCAAACAACACATCAATTGCACTCCTAGATATATCCAAAACATTTTCACAGAAAAAAAATTATATGACATCTAAAGCATAAGCAACAAAAAAGTGGACATGAAACTAAAAAGCTGCATAGCAGGAAAAAAAAAGGGATGAAAAATTCAGTCTAAGCACTTTCTGGCTCATCCCAGTGGTAGGGAAGAAGCTGGCTTGCACACTCCACAGGGGGTTGGCCCCTCTTTCCTCTGCACGGAAACACGGACATACAAGCAGTGTTCAGACTGGGATATAAGGCCGAGCAAGATTGTGTCACATACCATTTCTGTGTAAACTGTCCACAGTTTACAGGAACTGTCCCAGTTCCTAAGGGTGCAGCCAACAGCAAACCTGGCCAGCATGGTGTTGCCCAGCTGAAGCTTGCTTGAACCCTTCAACAGTTGCTGAGGTGCCACTGGTAGGCTTTTGGGGTCCTGGGTTCTTACTGGGTTGGTAAGGTGACATATACCAATTCTTGGGGATTATCCTCATTTATGAACTTTCTAAAGCTATCAGAAGAGAGTTTGACATCCCGTGGACCATCAAACCAGTCCACAAGCACAGGGCAAAGCAAGGCTGACATTTGCGGGGCACAGGAATTGTGCCCTGGCCCTCCCTGGTGGCGCAACGGGTTAAAGCGCAGCACTGAGTTACATCCCAAAGTACAGCAGACCTATCCTGACATCCCTGCTGCTCCCCTCAGCGGTGTACTTCATCAATCTGCCTGTTCTGCTCCTGACTAGTGAATCCTCTCACCGCCCCGCATCTCTGTCCTGTACCCCAGTTCTGTATGCATAAATAAATAAATCTTAAAAAAAAAAAGCATACCCTTAGGAAATACTACAAATTCTATCACACTCTTAGTTCTCACAGGGCAGCATGGAGAAGGCATTATACTCTGTATCTCCATCATTACTGCTAATGAGTAACCTTTGTAAACTTCTTAGTCAATACTTTTGGACAGTGTACTAAAAGACTTAAGTAGACATTTTTCTAAAGAACCTTCTAAAGAAGGTCAACAGATAACACGAAAAGGTACTAAGCATAACTAGTTATTAGGGAAATGCAAAAGCAAGCACTCAACCAACACTACTTCAATTAAAGATAAATGCAATTGAAGGGAAATCTTGCGCACAATAGGTAGGATTATAAAATGGTTGAAAACTAAGGAGAACCCTCAAGAAATTAAAACTAGAACTACCATATGACTATAGTCTAGCAATTCCACTTTTACCTCAAAAAATATCTGCACGCTAGTTTCATGACATTACTTAAATTAGGGGCCACCTCCCTGGGGGCTTAAGTCAGTACTGTGAAGCCATCAGCAGCCACTGCAGCACTAACCACATGGGGCAGCAGACTGCCTATCTCACCTGCTGTCCCCTCAACAGTGTATCTCAGTAGATCTGCCTGTTCTGCTCCCTGCTCTGTCTCTGATGAATGTTCTTATCCCTTCCCCTGCACCTCTGGCCTACACCCCAGTTCTTGTATGCATAAAAAAGTTATTTAAAATAATCAAATCATAGGGACAATTTAACAATCCACCCTCAATGGATGAAGAAGTAATCCTACTGTTTGCAACATGACTGTACCAAGTGAAATATAAGACAGAAAAACAAATGTTCTATGACTTGCTTATATGTGGAATGTAAAAACAAAAAGTACAGACTTGTAGATATCAGGAAAGTGTAGCAGGAAGGACAGTTAGAGGATGATCAAAAAATACAAACTTATTAGAAGTTCTGAGGATGTGATATAAAACAGACTAGAGTTGACATCCTGTATGATACATAGGAAAGTTAAAAGAGTAAATCCTAAGACTTATCACAAGGAAAATTTTTTGTATTTTTTTCCTCAGATCTATGTAAGATGGATGTTAACTGAACCTATTGTAGCCATTCCATTGTATATGTAAATAAGACAACATGCTGTGTGCAGCCTTAAACTTAATTGTAGCAGTTTCTTAATTATTGGGAAAATTTTACAACAAAACCTTGTACAAAGAATTGCTAGGAGCCTTATTAATAACAGCCTTAAAAAAGAATGGATAAACTTGTAAAAAGACATGTATTTTATACAATGGAAAACTACTTAGAAATTAGCATTAGAAATGAACTAATGCATACAATAATTAAATCTCAAAAACAAATGAAAAGTGTTAGAAAGCCACATCCCTTTTGATTCAATGCTTAATTGAATATAAGAATGGACATAAGAAATGACAAGGGAAAATGAAGCAATGGAAATGCTCTATATGCTAATTTGCACAGTGGGTATATGGGTGTGTTCATTAGATAAAAACACAGAACAGAAAACCTAAGATCTGTGTATGTTACACAACCTTAAAAAAACAAGCTTTAAAACTCAGGCAAACATCTGTACAGTGATCTCTCCCTAACAGTTTTAACCACTGGGCTGAGCACCACTGAAGACCATACTAATTACCTTTTATGGTAGCACATAGTAACAGAAAACAGACAAGGATATCCAGAGTTTTTGTTTTTAACATACATTAGACCAGTGATATTTAACCCTTTTTATTCCCCAAACTCAATCTTACAAACTTCCATTAAGAATAGTGCCCTAGAATCACTGCCCTGAATTTCATATTAGGGATTCAGTATGACTTGTTAATCAGAAATACCCAGGAACATTCTGTAAGATATGTAGTCATTCATGTTGACAGGATTCTCTTAAACATTCCTATCTCAAGGAGTTAGTCCACAGAAATGTGGAGAAATTGATGTTAATACATATCATAAGCCTTCTTATTAAATGTCAAAATGGTACGAGGTTGACTATTCATTAGAGTATTTTCATGTAAACAGTTGTATGACAAAATTAAACGCATACAGACCCACAGTTCCCAAAGTATGAGCTGAATATCCCAGGACACTGGTGTGGCCTCAGAGGTATTGTGGGACATTTTAACTTACAGGTCAAGTTTGTTCACTTCTGGTATTAGATCCTGTTTACATTACTTCAGAAGATACGTATTTTTGAGTTTGGGTTTTCAGAGATTCCAAAGATACAGAGCAAGTACCACATGAAATTCTTTGTAGAATAGGAAAACAAGTAGTGTCCAAAGTGATTGACAACAGACAGACATATCCCCATTAGAAGTAGTAATTTAATGATGCAATAAAGTATTTGAACCTAAATGGTTAATGATTGTTTATTTTAAAAAAAAATCCTTAAAAATAAGGTCACTAGGAAGTGGGACTATTAGAACAACCAAAGTGTCTTATTCATTTAAAAATGCAGAACTTTCCTAGATACAATTTGACTTCTTTAGGTTGAAGTCACAAAAGAATAAATAGGGAAAACACTTTCCTTTTGTGCTCTGATTTTCAGATACATATTTGGAATTAAATCTCAAAATGCAATTGTAGATAACTGAAGTCCATACTATCTATCTATGGTCCCAGCCATTATGGCTTGCCAGAACTAATGTAGCACTTGCAGGGCTAAAATTGAGGAAGACCTTGGAAACTAGGCCAAGCTGATCACTCTAACACATTAACTGAAAACACCAACCAGTCATTTTGTTCAGGTGCCTAATTTAGAGTAAAAACACCTGCCAAGCTCTGCCCTTCCTAGAGGCGGATGTTGAGTCCTCAAAACCAGTGTTACACTAGGCTCACACGTGGGGTACTTAAACACAAACTCACCCTCACCTTCCCACTCTATCAGTATAGTCTGCAGACTTTTCCAAAACCTGGTTTGAAAATAATTCTGACTCAAAACATTAAACATTTGCATAAACACTAGCATCACCGCCTATCTTCTGTACCAAGCTGTTTACCGCTCTAAAAGCCATTTGCAAACAGAGTAAAAGCACCAATCTCACATGATTTTTGTGAATATTAGGCGATACGAAATGCCTTCCACAGTGTCTGGAACTCGTTTAAGGGGGCATGGAGTACACCCCGAAAATTGAAAATTTGAATGTTTTTCCCATTAGAAATTAATGAAAAATTCTAGTCCCATTCACCATGATCAGATTAACCCTTTCGCACATTCCTCCCACCCTTGCCCTTCTCCCCACTAATAGAAACCATTTTATTCGGTATTTTTCTTGGTTCGCTTGGCATTTACAGTGGTGAACCAAATAAAAGTGATAACTTCTTGAATTTTTGTATAACTGAAAGTTCAAAAGTTATATCATTTTTCTATATTTCCATTTGTTAAACACATAATCACAACGCTGAAAGGTAATTTTAAACCAGCACGCATAGCAAAATGACGCAGTAGGCAAATTCAAGATCTTGTTCTCCCACAGATACAATAAAAAACAGGAATGGTAACAACCAATTATTTCAGAACTCTGGAAAACAACTGAGAAGTTCAGAGCAACCAAACACCCACTCCAGTAAGAACTCAAGATCGAATGAAGTCACCAGGACAACAACACAGGTCATGCCATTTTCTCTCCTCCTCGAAACAAGCTATCCCTACAGAAGACACCACTAAAACTAGAACACTGTCGGGCACGCTCGCGCCCCAGAGACCAAAACAGAGGCGCGTTAGCAGAGTAAGAGCAGCAACCCTCGGACTGTACTGCTCCCCCAACCTGGAGCGAACACAACGAGGTCTCCTCCCAACCTAGGGCTTCTCCTGCGGGAAGCCCGCCCAAGCGAATCCCAGAAACGCACCGCCCCTCCGCCACCCACCAACCGCCGCCCTCCAGCACCCCCTACTCATCCCCCAAACCCCCGCCAGCCTCACAGGTCACTCCCAACTCGCCCACCGGGAAAGCCCGATGAGAACGCCCGAAAACTGGCAGCCCGCGACGCTTACCTGAGTAGACGGCGGTCCGCAGCGCGAGGCCAGGGGCACCATTCAGTCAGGGGGTTCGGAGGTGCAGGTCCGCTGGAGTCAAGCTTATAACCTTCGGGGCTCCGCGGAGGTGCTGCGCTCCGCCCAGGTCCCGACGCCATCTCAGCCCCGCCCACTGGCCGAGCAGCCCCGCCCACCCCACCGCCCTAACCCCGCACACCTGCGCGGCGAGGGCCCCGCCCACCCCGAGGGCGACTCAGCGCCAGGCCGCAGAGACTAGGAACACCTGGGGTGGGCGGGCGGGGGGCGAGGCCGCTTTCCTATTCCGCGCGGGCGGGGTCAATTCACAGCCTCACCACCGCCAGAAGGTCCAGCGGAACGTCTGGAAAACTGCTTGGGGCAGAGACTCGCAGACTGGGTGGCCATCAACAGAGCGAAGCCAATTTTTCTTTTTGCGAGGGAACTCGGGGCACTGTTAACCCAAGACCACTAAGAGCCTTTCTGACCTTGGATTTGGGTTTTGGTTCTTCCCAGCAGGGAGTGATTCATAGTTCTGCCAGGAAATTCAGTGCATCGCCTCCCATGAGTTGGTTCGCCTCCCATGAGTTGGTTCGCAAGAAAGGAGCCTGAAAGGCCATGAGACCCATTCTGCCAAGCAGAAGCTGATCCATAGTCCTGTCTACTAATCATAATAACGCCCACACCCAAAAGCTGAGTGAGCCTCACCCCAGAACCCAGTCAACTGTGGCGCCCGTCCTACAGCCTCACTTGGGCAGGTAAGTAGGCAGTGCTACCCAGCTTTTCCCAGCCAGTGCTTCTCCACACCCCTCTACAGCTCAGGCAAGGAAGAGTTAAGAATGAATTAAAGATCTTAAAATCTAAGGAAATGGGGTAGATCGGTGTAAGAAAATACAAACCCACTCCTGGAGACTGAACATCAAAAAAACAGTCTCAGAAAGAGGGAAGCAGAGGAGAGAAAACCATCAGCAACCAATAAGTTTCCAAGAACTGAAAGGTCCAAGTTACCATCCTGAAGGGGTTCCTCAAAAGCCCAACATAAGCGATTAGACCCACCAAGGCAATCCTAAACCTCAGGACCAAGATAGTCTTTAAGCTTTCAAGTCACACACAAGGAGCAGAAATCAAAATGATTTTGGATTTCTCAGGACAACACTGGAAAAAAGACACCGGAGCAATACACGCCTTCAAAATTCTGAAGGAAAATTATTTACTACTTACAATTCTATGAAATAATAGCTATCAAATATGACAGACACACAAGGTCTACAATTTACTTCCACACATCCTTCTGCTAGAAGCTACCAAAAGATATGCCCCACCAAAACCCAATAAAACAGAAAACTAAGAATCCAGAAAACACAGTAAAACAGGAATGAATGCAAATGTCAAAATAGCTAGGTACAAGAGGGTAGATTTAAGCAACATGGTCAAAAGACAGACAGGTTGAGGGCTGCCTCATCAAGAGCTGGGCTAGTACTGGACTCTTTCTAACACAAGGAACAGCATACCCAAGGGAGCCAAGTTAGCCAGAGGCTGGTCTTTACCAGGTGAATAACTGCCCGCTTTTCAGCCCATACCCAGACGTGTGGATCAGCAAGGACACTCACATCACCCTCTGGGAACGCTGTTTTCAACCACTCCTCCAAGTGGGAGTTTGATTCATCATCATGGAACCAAACAACAGTTAACTCCCTCCAACCACACTTCTGTCAGGCATCAATTACCCAGTCCATGCCTTAACCCTGCCTAAGGCCCCACGTGAACCTATTGTCCAGCAGCACTCACCGTGACCCTAGCCATGAACTCCCTCAAAAATGATTTTTGTGAACTCTCGGGGAAGCCAAAATCAAACTATGACCCGAGACGTTATTATGCTCTCCCTTATGTCTTCATGTAATAATGGCATTGCCCTCCTGTATCTGCCAACAGAATTTTCAAAACTAGATGTATTGCTTAAGAATGTGTATGGACGTCATAAATGACATGTAAGGGAATGATTAACACGCAGCCAGGACAGGCCTCCAAGGGGGAAGGAGAGGGATGCAAGTGGGATGCACAAGAGTCTCTGGATGCTAGCAGAGTTCTACTTCTTGCCCTTCTTAGATATTACTGCATGTTTTACTTCTTAGGCTGGTGTGGGTACAGGAGAAGTGATTTCATTATTACTCTCTACACCATACTTTTCGGTATTTATGATTTGAAAAAAAAGGCGACCTTACCAATGTCCTTGTTCAGATTCCAGAGAAAGCTGCTAAGTTTGACTAGACTGGTCTCCTGTGAGAGAATGGATATGAACCCACTGAAGCGTGTGTATTTCTCTTTTTAAAATAACAAGCTTGTGCTAATTTCACTGCGTAAGAAAAGTTCTAACAAAATAAAGAATGTTTAGCTGATTTAATAACTGTCTTTACAAAGTTAAAATGGTATCTAAATAAACCTTCTGAGAGTCAATATATCCTTAACAAGTAACCAAATTCATTCACAGAATCAGGACTTTTTTGATGCTTCAATTTCATCCCATATTGCAGCTTCAATTTTTGAAGTGTCATATTCCCTCATCATATCAAACTCAATCCATGGCTGACTCCACTTCTGAGCTTCTCTCATTTGTTCTTCAGTTAAAGAAAGATCAAATCTGATCCCTTTAATATTAAATTTTGGACGTTCCCAGCGTTTGGACCAGGGCTTTGGTTTCATTTTTACTTTCAGCTAGGACAGACAAAAAAAAAAAAAAAAGGAATAAATTAGGTTGGTAGTTATAAGCAAATATTCATCCAAGAGTTTTCATTAAGGTGATTCTTATTTCATATTTACATTAACTGTTCCAAATGTACAACTTATACCTGATTAACAGGAACTTCTTGGCTAGATTCTTCTACCACAGGCTTCATATTCACATCAAAAGTGCTGTATTCTGGAAGGGCATCTCGTAAGTATAGCAAGCTATCATCCAGCCGTTTCTCTAATTTGACCACTTGGATCTCCTGGATTCGAGGATTATAAAGTTCAAAGCAAATCTCAACCCCTAAAAAAGAAGAAAGCATTTCTTACCATCTACATAGAGATTCCTGCATGTTTTATATTGCAGTAAAAGCGACTTCATAAAGGAACCAGTATAGCACTTGGTGACACAAATTTGAAAAGTTTAAAATGAAGATTACTAAGGACCCTCCCTGGTTAAAGCAGGGAGGGTTAGGTTAAAGCACAACACTGCAAGCTAGCCATGTCCTCTTCAGTGTGAGTTCGATCCCTGGCCCGAGAGTGACTCACTTGGCACAGCAGACTTCTCCTCTCTCCTGCTACTCCCCTCAGCAGTGTACTTTGTCAGTCTGCCTGCTCAGCTCCCCACTCTGTCTCTCTCGCTGTGAATCCTCTTGCTGCCTCTGCACTTCCTGCCTGCACCCCCATTATGTATGCATAATTAAGTAATCTTTAATAAATAAATAAATAAAATGAAGGTTACTAAAATGGAATTAAACTAAAATTTACATATTTGTAAATTGAATGTTTATAGATTTAAAATTATAATTAGAATGATAAAGCAAAAAAAAAATCCACCTACAGTGGGTCACATTTCTCTAATTTTGCTCATGGAGATAGTTTGGGTTCTGTCAGTTCTTATTTATTACATAACTATTTAAATAAAACTATCTTCTACATTTAGAGCAACCAAGGTTAATGATGCGAAAAGAGTAAGTAAAATTTTAAGTCTTAGCTTTGGTACAGAAGTCCTTTTATTGATGGCCTGGGAATTATTATTATTATTTTTTTAACATTCTAGAGCCCTCCATATGAAACAAGCTAGTGTTAAAAAAGATAAAATTAAAAATTTTAATTTTTAAATAATTTGAACAAAAATTTGAATTGGGCAGCATCAAATCTAGCAGATAGAAAGAACCTCCAAGACGCTATAAAAACTTCAAAGCATTCTAGGCAGAGGAAAATGGAAACAAAGAAATTACATTAAGCAAACAAACAAAAATAGTTGGTCACAGCAAAGTTTCTTTTCTGTAGGGGACTAACAGGTGGATTACTTAACTGGTGCTGATCAGGAATCTTTTGATAGACTCATTTAAGGTTTCATTTCTGGGAGAGACAAAACTGTAACTAGGTTGTCTCAGTTTGGGGACAAAGGGCTTGGCATAAGTGACTCCATTTGGGTCCTGCTGTCTTGTTTTTAACTATAGTAACACCTTTGGGTGTTTCCAAGATGCTACATACAATAATAGGCTATAATCTGTATAATCAAACAGTTAAGGTAAGAGTATATTCTGAGATTTCTTGGAAAAATCCCAGGAAAAATATAAAAATATAAAAATATATGATCAACATTACTATCTACTGGATATATCAGGATTCAATCTCATATTCGCTGCACACCTATTCTGTTCCAGGCACTGAATTAGGAGTCATGCCTATAGGCAAACCAATAAGTAAGAATCTTCTCTTATAAAGTTTATAGTGTAAAGGGTACAAGTACTATGTAAGCCAAAAAAGGTCACTGCATAAAGACAATACCCAGTGATGGCATTGTCACTGAGAAGGGAGCAACTTTAAATAGTAAGGGAAAGGATGACACTTAAAACAGGGCCAAGAATACTCTGATGAGAAAGAAAAGCAAAGCTCTTGAGGTCCTAACAGACTTTCCATGCTGGGAAAAACAGAAAAGACCCCTTTGGCTGGAGGATAGTAACCTGGTGAGCCCAAGTTCACCAAGAGCCCACAAGGCTGCAGGCAGAAGGCCCTGGTGGCACAGCCAAGAGCGACAGCAGAGGAAATAGAGAAACAGACTAACTCGGGATCTACTTTTTGAAGACTTAGCCAATCAAACTTAATTGATTGACTGGACAAGGGAAAAAGAATTTAAAGTAGCTCTTAAGCTTTTGGTTAACTAAATAGTTAGGGAACGGTACCATTTACAGAAATAAGAAACAAAAATGTGAGAACAACATGTTCTGAGGGAAAACAAAGAACTCTATTATAACTTGTTTTATGCTTTTAAGACACATAAATGGAGACATCACATAGATAGTTGTTTATGCAAGTCTGAAACTTGGAAAAGGTCAGTCCTTGAGACATCCAGGTGGCATTAGCATCATCTGGATAGTATTTAGGGTCAGTGCATGTGAAATAACCATGATGGAGTACTGCTGAGGAAGGTCAAGGCAAAGTCAGTCGTAACACTAATATATTGAAGAGAAGGGTATGAGGGTGCCGATACTTTTGTGTCATCTGTCATCCATTACCTCACATACATAATAGTAATCAATTAACCACATCCCTGGCAGAAACCATTATTGTAAATTTAAAAAAAAAATGAAGCCCTGGTGTCCACCTGACTCATTCCTCGGCTCATGTCTCTATTACACACGTTCCTCAAGGTTAAGACCAGGCTGAGGCACAAGTCTGTAGGCAGCGCACGCCGGCCAGCTCCCCCTGCACAGCACCAGTAAGGGGTGCAGTCACTAAGGGGCAGAGAGGCAGCAACTGCTCACAATTCAGTTTCTGCTGACTATAACACGTCCCTTTTGGCAGACAAGAGCACACAAATTTACACATGAAAACTTTACTATTCCTGCCATTTTGTTTCATAATCTTTGTAGCATTTTACCACTTGTTCCTCTGCCTTACAGGACACACCAAACGTAACCCTACCCTTTCTAAATTGTTCTGATTCTTCTAAAACTGATAACTGTGGTGACCACAGTAGATAGAGCAAAATGGGATGACTTGTCTTAAGAGAAAGTAACTCATAAGGACACGGTTGTGTTCATCTCAATGTTGTCACGAAGGTGCCCTCACTGCTTTATAGTCACTTATCGCTCACTAGAGGTCACCATGGCTTGGAAGGCCTACTTCTAATGGCAGTTGTCCCTGTAATAAAAGAAACTTTCAAGGAAAGCAAGTAAGTCATCAGTTATATTTAATCAGCAGCCTCAGTTCTCATATCATTCTTAGGCCAAAGGCTCCATGCCAAGTAAACAAAAAGGCTTCCTGCAATATTTTTCAGAAAATAAAAACAGTGAAACGAAACCTACCTTGTCCTTCAATAGTATTTCTAAGGATAAAAGTAGCTCCAAGTCCTGATCCTGATCTTTGAATGCAAATCCCCAGAAACTGACTGGTTTTTCCACTGGCATATGGATCAGACGAAGTAACACGAAGAATGCTTCCTACAAATTAAAGAGAGAAACTTATACATGAGATGCAAAAACAATCAATAGCATTTCTAGATAGCTTCATAGATTTTTATATATTAGGGATAACACTTCATACAGGCAAAAGCCAGCTCTCAAAAGTAAACTCTATGCCAACAAAATTAACCCTTTAATCACTAATAATATAAGCATCCAGCTCTTACTGACCAACATAGAATTCTGGAATGTGGAGTACTTTCCTCCTTTCTAACATATCTTTCCTTTCTATCTGAAATTTCAGAGGATTTGTTCTTCCCCGAGGAGGAATGAATTCAGGACTCAAGAACCTGCGAAAAATATAAATAAAAAATTAGAATTGAAAATACCATTGAAAGAGAAACTTGCTTTGCAAAAGAAAATATTAAAGATTATCAATGTTTTTTAGTCTTCCTTCTCTAAATAAGAAAAGTCAATATCCGGGGCCCCTCCCTGGTGGCCTAAGAGTTAAGTCTCAGAGCTATCACCCCTACTACCTGAGTTCAACTTCCAGCCAGGGAGCTGACCTCTACGGTTTCGCCCGCTGCTCCCCTCAGCAATGTGTCTTACTAGATACCCCTCTTCTGCTCCCCACTCTGTTTCTGGTGAACCCAGTCAATGCCCCACCCCTGGCCTATACCCCAGTTCTCCTATACATATTTTTTCAAAAACTTTTAAAAAGTCAATCTCCTTTTTAAAATTTTGTCAATGTTCATGAGAATAGCTAACAATTTCTAATTCATCTCCTGCCGTGATACTTAAAGCTTTACTACATATCCATAACATAAAAGTAATTTTCACAACCAAATAGGTTTGGTGTCACCATTTTCTTTCCACAGATGAAGAAAATGAAGCTTCGAGAAGCTGACCTATTACAACTATATTAGCTATGACTTCAGCAAGTCAAGATTTAAATGTGGGCTTCAAATTGAGTTGCACATGTCATAATAAGTCAGAAAAAAAATGTAAATAAAGAAATCACCAATTACAAACTGAGTTTTAAAATAATCTCCCTATTCCTTTAACGGATTTTAACCCATTACGAAACATTTAATAGTCTATAGGAAAGTACAAAAGACGCTACAATGAAAATTCATGTCCCTACTCTGCCATCTGAAAATAAATGATCGCTATAATTGAAGCCTTGTACAGCCTTACCAATCCCAGTGAATGACTGTGCTGTATGTGGTGATGATTATCCCAAGGAATTTCTTCCTTTTCCTCAATTTCCTACTCTGAAATTTTTCTCAATTTCCTACTTTGAAATTTTCCAAACCTACTAAAATAGTGACATAGTAGTATAATGAACACCCAAATATATTTGATGCAGTTTCACCAGGCATCATCATTTTGTCCCATTTCCTTTATATATGTTTTTCTGAACGACCTGAAAATATCTCACTCCCTAACATTTTAGAAGGCTACTGCTAAGAATAAGGACGTCTTCCTACATTTACCACAATACAGATGTGATGTCTAAAGTTTTAGCTTTAATTAATTAGTGTACTCCAACATATATCTGATATTTAATTGTACATAATTATGCCTGGGAAAAGGTTATCTTTGATAGCTGTTTGTTGCCCAATCTGAGCTATAACCAGGCATCACATTGTATTTGGTTATCAGTCTCTTTATTCTGTTCAGCTAAGGCTATTCTCCATCTTCTTATTGTTGTAACACTGCCTTTTTGTTTGAATTAAATACTATTGTCTTACAGACCATCCCTGGGTTATAGACTTGTTTGCTGTTACCACATGGCTAGATCAATGTAAAACATCTTTGATAAAAATATTATATAGATGATGGTGTCATTCTGTCACTTCAGGAGTAACTTTATATCAACTTGTACCACCACTGGGAAAGCTAGGTTTGACTGCTCTATGAAAGTGAAGAATTTCCTCCCTACATTTTTTTTTTTTTTTTACACATTACATATGTGAGTATGTCTGGGCAATATAAAAGTGTAATCAATACCACATCAATTCTTCTGCAGGATGTTTTCCCCAGGCATCATAATTGTGAAGTTCACTCATTTTAGCTCTACATCATTCATTTTTTCATAGCCAAATAGTACTCTGTTCTGTGAATGTATTTGCCTGTTCACCTACTGAAAGATAACTAGTCTACTCCTAAGTTTTGGTTACAAACACTACTTTTATGTTTATCCTTGTATATATGCATCCTTGTACAGATTGCTTTCTTTAAATTGTATTTCTTCTGGGTGGAACAGTACACACAATCTTACTCATTTTTGTCAAACTGTTTTCTAGGTAGTTCTACAATTAATAGTCCCATTTAACTAAATTGTAGAGAAAGCTAACTTAAGAAATATACTCTTGGGGCCTCTCCCTAGTGGCATAGGGGTTAAGTCTCTGCACTATCAAACTATCAACACTGTGGCCTGAGTTGGAATCCTGCCCAGAATGCTAATGCACATGGTGCAGCAGACCTCCCCTGTCTTGCCCACTGCTCCACCTCAGCAGTGTATTTCAGTTAATCCACCTGTTCAGCTCTGGACTCTGTCGCTGGTGAATCCTCTCAAAACACCCCTCCCCACCCCTGCACTTCTGGCCTATACCCCAGTTCATCTATGCATAAATAAATCTTTTTTTTTTTTAAAGGAAAGTATGTACTCTTCAGGTTTAAAAAAAAAAAAAACTTGCATAAGAAAATCTTGTCCAAATTTCTAGGCTCTATGAATTCAAGATTGTTTCAACTTACAATCACAATCTTTTAAACGTTAAATATATTCATGCAGAGAGAAATCAAACAACCAAGGGCACTTGCAGAAGGCCTATAATCACAGCCAGCTTTTCCCTTTAAAATTGACACCTTAACATGGTTGTTAAAAGGTTCCACAGAAACTTTGTGCAAATTCTACTTAACCTAAATTTACACGTACCTTCAAAGTTACACCCATTCATTTACGTGAGCCAGATTTTTAAGCAGTCTTGAAGAGCAAATTTGAGAAATGGGAGTGGTCATTTTTGCTACTATACTGTATTTGCCAAGACACTAAAACACGATGACTTTTAACCAACCTATTCCCACTCGGACGAGGAAAGATCGGACACCCGGCATAAACAAGCAAAATACAACGTGCTTAAGAAAAAACTTGCTGTGTGCCATAGGCGTCTCAAATCTGAGAAGTCCCGACTTGGAGTTCTGACTTAGGATAGCGGCTTCAAAGAAACACGAAGACGACAAACCTAAGTTGGGTGCCCTTTACTTTATGACCTCTCGTGAAACTGGCTCTGGACCAAGAACTCTAAAGCCAATACAGCTTCACAGCACATCGACCCAAAGAGCGGGAATCGCGCCCGGGTTCGAGTCTCACCTGCCTTCCTGGCGCCGGGTCAAGCGTTTGTCAACGATAACCGGTTTCGGCGGCGGCTTAAACGCACCGGGCTCGGAGGGTCCAGTACTCTGCTGCCGGCCCAGAACCACGCAGACCCCTGCGGAAGCGGACGACAGCGATCAAGACCGCTCAGGCCAGATCTGCGCGTCCCCGGAACCAGGCAACCTCTGCCACTCACGGTCCATTGAGGGACCGCCGCCGGATCGCAACGAGTCTCCGAACTCGCCAACCCAATCCCCGCCTTTGACGTCTACTACTCCCCGACCCCAAGCCCAGCTCCACTTACGGCTGGAGACAGAGGACCGCGCAGGTAGCAGTGCCCAGACCACTCGAAAGCTCCGAGCCAGGTCCATCGCGGTCCCGCAGCCCCCAGCAATGGAAGCCGCCATGCCGGCTCACTCAGGGCGAGACTACAACTCCCAGGAATCAGTGCGACGAAGTCACGGCCACCTACGGCTGGATGGCGGCTGTTAGAGGACAAAACAGCTAAATACCCGCCTTGGAACTCTTCGGGGGAAGTATTTCTAGTGTTCCGCCTTGCGCCAAATGATACACATCCGAGAGGGAATTCTAGGAAGCCTGGAAAGCTTTCCTCACTCCCTCCTAGAATTAACTCTTTCTTCACTTTCTTGAGCAAATCTTCATTATGTCAAAACCCCATTATAGGTTGTCATCCTTACCTAGGTGCCTTCCCTTAGCAATCTCACTTGCAATTTATGTTTTAACTATTTTATAGTTACTGGATTTATGTATAACTCTGACATTATGCTCTAAGTTTGAGAGGGCATGGAAAAAGTCGTCTCTTGCTCACCATTTTATTCTATCACCTAGTACTGTCTGGCTCTCATGTTATGGTGTTGCAAGAAAAATAACAGATCAGGTGGCACGAAGGTGGGAATAGATATGGTGGGAATACTGGCGGTGATGGAACTGGGAAAATTAGACATCTCGTTAGGGAATTTGGAATTAGTACCCTTGGTAATGGTGAACTTCGAGATGGATTTTGCATTCACTGTGACATGATTGTTTAATATTCATTCATCCCAGTTGAGTTAACAACCAAAGCACCTCAAACTTAACAAATCCATACTGAATACATCATGTTTATCTTCTAGCCTTTATCCCTGTGTGAGCCATCACATGTACAGGCAAACCCAGAGTCTCAGTACCATCCTAGATTCCTCCTTCTCTCCCTAGATAAAGTTCCTAAAACTACACCTGGCACTATCACATATCTCAATAATCCTTACACTTTTTCATACTTCCACCCACATATCTAATTCCAATCACCATCTTTTCTCCTCAGGATCACTGCAACCCCTTTGCTGCCCTCTCCTAATTTTCCGTGCCGGGTCCCCTCTCCAAGGGGCCAAGGAGTGACTCAGAAATGCACATCTTGATTTCTTCAGCTTAAAGTTTTCTGTTACCCCATGATAAAAATTAAATTCTCAGAAATGCAACCAACCTCTGAAACTGATGGACTCTACTTTGCAATCCTGGAATTCGTGAGAACAGAGAAAGAGGGCCATGTTTTGAGAACAGAATTCAAATCACTGTGGGGATAGACAGAATCTTCTATTTTAATTCTAGCTTGCTTCACAGACAATGCATCCTATAACAAGCAATTATACAACCAAATTTTCCATTATCTAAATTTTGGCTTTTTTTCTGCTCACTAAAAGGAAATTTTATACCTTTAAGAGAATAAAAAGGGAAGCAAAAAGAAAGATAATTGTGATTAGAAGGGATGAGGGTAGCGCTGGACTAGATCATCTTGTTGTGACTGGTCCTTCTGGTACAGGCAGGGAAATTAAAGGCAGCCTCTCATGAGAGGAGGGCAGGACTTATGAATACTCCCAAATCATCCCTAGTGCTCCATCCTACTAAGGGTGAGGAAATAGTTTTATACCATGTCACAAACCCTGAGGAATGGACGTGGGGAACTGGAGCTCACTCTGTCCCAAACTCCAGCTTCCTCATCATCAGCCAGGCTACTCTGTCTTACCTTATAGTGAAGAACAAGGTGAGTTTTAATTATTCCACTAGACAACTTCATGGAGCAAAATCAAAGAGCACAGGGTTGACTCAACCATCTTGTGAGCTGATTCCAGGAATAGAACCTTCATTACATTTTTTTCTCTACTTTGCACACTCATGTGAAGAAGAGCCTGGACAAAAATCACATGGTGTTCAGTCAGGGGAGAAAGTGCTCCAGACAAACACCCTGCTGCAGGTTATTGCTCATTTTGTTCATTTTACAATCTAGATGACTTGTATAGTGCCTGATACCCAGTAAACACTTCCAAATAAAATTAGAAAGATCACTCTGGTCACATTTAGAAAATGGATAGGAGACAGGAAACTATCTGAATATTCCGAGAGGGAGAGATGTTGCTAACTTAAAAAAAAAAAGTTTTCCAAATGTCCTCCTGGGTCAGCAGCATCAGAAGCCCTGGGGTGGATTCCAACAAGTGCTTGAGCTGACAGTCCAGGTGAGCTGATGCTTGTTCGGTGGCAATAAGAAAAGGTAGTTAAGAAATTAGCCTGGGAGGGAAATTTGGGCAAAACAAAGTCTGACACACGTCAGCTGCGAAACTGGGTTTCTTCTCCCTGTGTTAGTTTTCTCGACAATAGGATTTTATGATGGGAGGTGGGAGGGTTACACTAAACTAAGCATCCATAACTAAAGCTCTTAGGTAGATGTCTGAAGCAGAATATGTTCTTAACAGTCTGAAACTTACTTTAAAGATGCAAAATGACTCCTAGCTCAGCACGAGGTGATGACTTTATCCATATACTTACAAAAGCGGGAAAAATCTCACGTTCCAAAGAGGAGTTGGTAACCCAGGTGGCCGAGAAAACCAGAGTCGCCACGTGAAATGATGGCAGTCAGGGCGCACCCACAAAGTAGCCTCTGCCAAGTGCAGCGGGGACGCCCACCCTGTCTGTCCCGGGAAAGGGCACACTGGACAGGGGTCAGCCCCCCCTTTCCCCCACATGACTCTGTTCTCCCTCCATGCATGAGCCGCGGCGCTAGCTGCGGGCAGGGGCCACACAGGCTTCTCCCTGAGTGGCAGCGTTGCTCCTGGAGCTGGACGCCTTTGGCCTCCCTTTGCGTCTCCCCAAGGAGCCACCGCCTCGCTAAGCCGCCCAGTATTCAAAGTAAGCTGCCTCAGGGTGGAGTGAGGTTCCACACTTGGAGGCTGGAGGAAACTGGGTGCTCCCCTCTCTCAGCTGCCGCACCCAGGACTTAGCTCCATGGCCAGTAAGTAGCTAGTGGATGAGAAACAACCCTCCTCCTGGGAGGACAGGGTTCCGCCAGGGCGCCTGTGGGGACCAGGAAAAGAGCCCCAATCGTTGACCTTGAGCTGGCTGTTGGGGAGGGAGGCCGGGGCGGACACCACCCACTGGCTTTTCCACTCGCTTTTCTTTTCCTTTTTTGTAGATGTTCTTGGGTAAATGTTTCGTTTCTTCTTTGCCCATAGGGCCAATTTCAGAGTCTCTGCAGGGATTTTTTTTTTCTTTTTCTAGTTTTCACCTGTTTCCCTGGCAACTGAGTCATTAGCGCTCCTCCCGCTGTCAGGCTGGAACTGTCTGTCTTCGGCTTTGAGCAGAGGTATAAGTGTCTCTCTGGATCCCTTTCACGCGCCTGACAGCTTGGCGGCCTTTGGTTGGGACTCTGGGAGGACTCTGAATATGACCTCTTGTCCTAATCCTCCCAGGCCCTGACCTGGAACACTCTTGCCACTGCTGGTGTTCAGGCAAAGGCAAAAGACTGTCTCACCCTTATCCCTCTCTCTATAAATGAGAAAATTAGCATTAAGTATGGAAAGGCAGTACCTCCTGATCAGCTATGAGATGGCAATATACTAATTAGCAATGTTGGGAGGAAACTTTCTCAATAAAATACTTCCTTCGAAAGTCAGAAATACTTTAAGAAAAAGCCATTTGTTTCAACATGTTTCTTGAAAATATGATTCAAAATTTTGCTCAAACGTTTGGGGCTTGAAGAAATGTTCATCTTTAGCATAATGTGGATTGTTTAAACTCTAGCCAAGGAACTTCTAAGAGCTGCATTTGAGAAGTTGCCTTCATGCGTGATATAAGACGTGCTCAAGTATAGTCTCAGTGTCATGTGGTCCTGTAGCTTTAAGTTGCCAAAGTAATAGAAAAGAAAAAAAGCTTGCTTAAATATTTTCTTAAAAAGGAGTCACTGCTACAAAATCAAGATCCTTAATACATACTTGTCATCATAAGTATTATATTCAACTGTACTCACAGTTCACATGTTAAGTTTAATTAGATATGATTGATTTTCATGACTTTTTTTTAAATATCAGATAAATCTTCACCTGAACATCTTTTCCCTATTGTTTACAATGTTGGTTTTGGGGAATTTTTTGGAGAAGTGTTTGAGAAATGACACTATAATGCCTTTCATTATGTGGAAGGCAGCATTTTAGACATAAAGAATTGATTAAATCGGCATAAAGATCAAAAGCACACAGTGGACATTGCCAGTTTGTCTTCAGTCCTTTACCTGGCTTATAGCACAGCTGGAAACCCCAGGTGCTGCTTAGTCTGTTCTATGGGACCATGAAGGGTATGTAGACGTGTTAATATCACAGTTAGATAAAGCTACCATAGGCCAAGCTCCTACAGGTCATCTCTGAGAAACATCAAACATTGCAAATCAAGCCCAATCATATCTTTAGAAGGGGAAACCAGGGATTGTATGGATGAACCAGTATTACTATCAAAATTCAAAAAGCTAACTGTTTTCTTTTAACCATAAACCAATCTTATTTACATCAAGACTTTGCCACACACAAAAAATAGCTTTTTCATTATTTGAATTCTAGTGCATGAGAGCTACTTGAATATGGCACAATAAGGCAAGTTTGAGACATTTTTGTTTGTAGTAAGTAAGGCGATACCAACTGCCTCAATCATAGGCCGCTGTCAGCTTTCATCAGTAGCTTTTCTGAGAGAAACTGTCAGCTCTACCTTTGCTTCATGCCAGAGAAGATCATTTTTGCTCCAACAATTACTTCTTGGTATTCTCCACATATCCCATCAGTGTCTCCTCGCCCCTTGTGGTGCGTTTGTTCCCATCGGCATCTGTGGAAGAGAACCCGAAGTCCTGCTCCACCTTTCCGCTAAACAGAGCCAGGACACTGGCCCAGTCTTCTGCTTGCCTGTCTCGCCACCCAGGGCCCTGCGCACACATACATCTCGCCCTTCTCAATATCACCCATTTTTGAATCGCTTTTTCCTCAATACTATACAAAGGTTCTTGCTCACAAAAGGAGTCCCCGCTTTTCCTTAGCTGTTTATTTCCATAACTATTTGAGTCTTGCCTGGGCTCTGGTTTTGTTTTTATTCTTAT